CCATACTGTATGGAACACACTGCAGTGCAGTCGAATATGAATGCACCAGAGCTGCCGGCAGAATTCATTTAGGTATCTTTGAGTCTCTCAGCTGAAGATTCCCTGAGTTTGAGATTAGAGCAATCCAGAGTCGAACCTGACATTCTTTTTCTAATGCTTTCAAATCAAACCTACAGTATACAGTTTGAGCCATTAAAGTTTGAGGAGTTCTCCTTGTAACTAGAACCATACAACTCCACGAGGCTTTAATGATGAATATATTCCGATCTAACCTCTATGAATCATTAAACCCTATTTTATTATCTCTAATGTTTCTGTTCTGCATACTACCAAAGGTTAGGTCTAAACTCTCCGTGCAGCACAAGCTGGATGTCATTCACAGCTGGACTGCAGAGTGTCTTTCTGAGATGATAATAATGTGTCAGGCTAATATCTGCGAGACTGCATTGCCAAAGGGACAAAGGATTCTCATTAGTCATACTGTCTATAAGACACGTATCCATCCTCTCTGCAGCTCCTCGGCTTATAATGAGAGAATGATTGCATCTTTCTACACGGCTGGAAAAACAGATTTTCGGTATTGCGCAAACAATTAAGCTTTCCGGTTAGGGAAACACAAAATTAAAGTGTTGTCAAATAAGCCACACTTCAAGAGTTTGCTAAAATGCAAATGACAATGCTGGATTTTTAACTCTTCAGCACTCGACTCTCAAATGGTCGGGAAAAATAGTGTTCCCAGTAACAGCTGGTCCACACCGGGGTGTTAGAGTCTGCGTACAAACATTAGTCTGCTGCTTTCACACTGGCAACTCAAGAGCACCATCTTCTGACAAGCTGAATGTCTTCTGGCCCAGTGTTTCTTGCACTTTTTTAGGCGGTTTTAGGCAAAATTGCAGGGCTACCTAACATCCCAATCTCATTAGGATAGTGAAACAGAGGGCAGAGGCCCATTAGGCAGCCTAAAAATTATTTAAATTAAGACAAATCAAGCTTTAAAATAAATGAGCGTATTTCTTAACGACCATCATGTCGTTCCAAACCTGTATGCACTTCTATTTTCTGCTGAACACAAGAGAAGATATTTTGAAGAATGTTGATAACCAACCAGTTTCGGTTCCCACTGACTTCCATTGTATTTTTTTTCAGTCAATAGAAACCAAAACTAACATTCTTCTAAATATATTCTTTTGTGTTCCACAGAAGAAAAAAGTCATACAAGTTTGGATGGAACGACATGAGGATGAGTAAATTATGGCAGAACTTTCCCTTTAATTTAATTCACCCCCAAACGGTTTAATTATTTTAATTTTAATCTACTGAATGGACACTTTCTTTAAGTTAACTTCATAATTCTGGCAGACTGCCAGTCAATAGAAACCAAAACTAACATTCTTCTAAATATATTCTTTTGTGTTCCACAGAAGAAGAAAAAAGTCATACAAGTTTGGATGGAACGACATGAGGATGAGTAAATTATGGCAGAACTTTCCCTTTAATTTAATTCACCCCCAAACGGTTTAATTATTTTAATTTTAATCTACTGAATGGACACTTTCTTTAAGTTAACTTCATAATTCTGGCAGACTGCCATTTTCTTCTTATTATCAACTATAACAAGACAGTTACTAATGAACCTAAATAATAAGACTTTTCTCTTCATAGGAAGTCAGACCGAACACTTACATACATTATAAATGTACATACATTATTCACATAAATGTGACTATTTATAATAACAGAAACACTTTGCAAAGTCTTTAAGAAAACCGGCTTCCTCAAAACAATTGCTTTTATGTTGTTTAAGTTGTGTACAATATTCATAGCCTAAAGATGAATCATGAAATAACTTTTGCTGATCCATAATTTTGCCAGTCTGCTGTTTTGTTCTTTCATGTTCATTTCATTGGAATTAAATACATTGCTACTTTACTAGAGCATTAACTAGTAAAGCCTAAATGAGCCTCCTGTTTGTTAGGTAAGAAGTTGGATTGTACACAGTGCATGACTGTCATAATTTTCCAGGATTTAACCTATTGATATCCAAGTTGTCACTTAATACAACTTTACATTTCAGGTTGACTAAACTTAAAATTTTAAGGCATAATGAACCATTTTTTAAGCTGAAACAACAATTTGTCTATTGAAAGTGTTTGTTTTTTTTTCTTAGACATTTTATCAACTGAACAATAAGTACGATGTTAGAACAACAGTAAGGTCTGTTGAAGTGAGAGGACACCAACTTAAATTATTAATGTTACTGTTATCTGTTAATTCATTGTCATGAGTTGGTTGTTTTTTGTCAATTATAATTCTTTTATTTAATTATCTATTTAGCTTATTATTTTTAATTAGTAAAAAAAAACTCACTGTTTGAGAACCACTGATTTAACCTTTTTTAATATTCTCTCTGTGCTTTTGTTTTATTACTAACAGAAGGGAACAAAAAAATACACTATAAATATGGAATCACTCACTAAAAAGCCATTTAGATGCATGCCAATCATTTCTTTATAAAATTATTTGAAACTTTAACACTGCTAGGTCTCCCTGATAAACTGAAAATGCAAATCTGACTTAATGTTATATTCAAGACCTAAATCTAATTATTCTGCTATAGCATTTATATCTAGGATCTGTATTGAGTTTCTGGTTTCTAATGCGCAGAATCTGGTTGCAGGCAAGTGTTTTATATACAAGTAATAGGAACACAACAATTTTTTTTACATTTACAATACATTTATTGAATTTTTTATATATTAAAAATGCATTTGCATGAAAAAGACTTCATCCTATCTTATTCTGAACATCCTCGCCAGAAAGAAAAGCTCTGCGGACTCCTTCCTGCTTGCTCTCGGTTTTACTGTTTTTACATCTTGAAACATAGAGGAAAGCCTCTGCTGGAGCTTATGGGCCAAAGCTCCATCCCAGTATTTACAAATCAAAGAGCCTCCGGGGCGCAAAACCTTGTCAGCCAAGTCCAGCACTGATAGGCACATGGTGACCAGTCTTTCATGATCCAGTTCCCTGAGCCCACTGGCATTGGGGGCCATGTCACTGAGGATGACATCTGCTCGAGCTCCAGGGAGGAGCCTCTCCAGCGCCATGTGAGTCGAGGGCTCAGTGATGTCATGATTGGACAGCAGCTGAGCTCCATCCAAGGGGGAAATGCGTAATATATCTATTCCTATTACGCTTCCTTTAGGAAGATCCACACCTGGAATGAACAAAGGTATAGTGTTTATATCCTCATCAGCTAAAAGAAATGGCACCTAAACCAAAATGTAATAGTCTAATAGATTATAAATATAAGTATTTATATCCATCTATCTATCCAAAAACTCACCACCAAACACCAATGACTTGTACACTTGCAACAGAGATGGAAATACAATTTTTAAATACATGAATTATGTTTCCATCTTTTTTGACACAGTTTTAGAAGTGCCTTCTGTTCTAAAGAAGGGGGTGTCCCAATACTTTTGTCAACATAGTGTATGTACAAAATCAAATTATTGGTGTTTGGTGATGAGTTTTTGGCTCAGGGTCTGCATGTAAAGTCCCACCAGAGGTGTTCAGCTGGGATTAAGACTTGGTTTTCTGCAGACCAGTCAAGTTCTTCCACACTGACTGGATCAATCATTTCTTTTTGAACCTTGCCTTATACACAGAGGCATTGTCATGTTAGAATAGAAAAGGGTCCTGTCCAAACTGTTGCTATAAAATTAGAAGCACACAATTCCCTAGAATATCATTATATGCTTAAACATTAAGATTTGTGCTCATGGAAATTACTGAAGTAGTCAAATTTATTCATCGGAAGGGGGTGTTCCAATACTTTTGGCAATATAGTGTATGTTTAAAATCAGTTCTATAGACATATATAAATTGTACTTATATTATATATGAATTACTTTTTTTTTTTAAATAATGATGATGGATGGGTTGGACAGTTGAGTAAAAACAACCAAGCGCTCATATATATATATATATATATATATATATATTTTTTTTATTTATTTCATAATGGAATTCATAATGGAATGCATTTACTATTATTCTAAATTTTTAGGGATGTAACGATTCACTCAACTCACGATTCGATTTGATTCACAATTTTGATTTCACGATTCGATGCACGATTTTATTTTAACAAAATGAGATTTAAGACAAATTATAAATTAAATGTGTCCTTTTATTATTGCTTGGACAAAATGCTGCACGTTTCTTTGTGAAATTGAAATATAACCCTATAATAATATACTAATGCAGCACTTGTTGGTTTTGATTGCTTCTATTGTCCTCATTTGTAAGTCGCTTTGGAGAAAAGCGTCTGCTAAATAACAAAATGTAAATATAATGTAAATAACAAGACTAAATTGAAATCTTAAAACAAGCATAAAAAATACATAAGTAACACAAATAAAAGAAATCTCTTCATATAAACAAAATAAGGCTTTGTCTGCGCTCTTTCCATTTCAAATTAGAGGCAACCACTGCATTTTAATCACGATTCAAACAAAGTTGCTGCATACATGCAACATGAGCAGTTTTTAATCTAAATTAGACTGTATAATTTCGAAATTTGAAGCAAAACCTCTCCTTACTCATAACTCCAGGCTTCAGTGCCACATGATTCTTCAGAATTCATTCTTATATGATTATTTGCATCTCAAGAAACATTTCTCCTTATTATTAATGTTGAAAACAATTGTGCTGCTTCACATTTTCGTGGAAACAGTGAAACGTGATTTTCAGGATTCTTTGATGGATATAAAGTCCAAAAGAACAGCATTTATTTGTACAAACATAAGTGATTTTACTCTCAGTTGATCAATTGAATATATCTCTGCTAAATAAAATCTATTCTTTTCTTTCAAAACTAACAAACAAAACGTTTTAGCTGTAGTGTATGTATACTAAGATGACATGCATGGATATTATATGATGTTACATTGGTGGTCCATAATTCAGCAGCTCACTAACTTTCTCCTGCGGAGTTGACTCTCTGGACTGCAACTTGACTCCATGCACCAGGCGCAGCACCGCAATCCACGACACTCGAGCCAGGTTTGAGAAGTCTGTATTTGTCATCTATCTCGATCAGTTTAAAGGCACTTCTACAGCGGTAATTCTGCGCGTGAGCAGCTTTAACGAAAGGGTCACTGAGCTGCCGCACCAGCCATCTCTGATCGGCAGCACTCTTCCCCTTCATATGCAGAGGCGTCTTCTTTAGAGAGACCGCTGACATGTGAATGAACGACCTTTGGATCCGTTTCCACATCGTTTACAAACAAGTGATCTGGAGAGACACTTTTAGAGCTTAAGTGCAAGAAAACAAGACACATGTGCGTCTATGGTGTCCTCGTGCTGTCACAGATGCACGCATTGTGCGCAGACTCTTAGATCACTGAGTTATGCATTATCGTGCTTTATATGTCTGTAGGATATTGTTAATTATTTAGATGAAATGCATTCATCAGTTAGTGATCATTTCACTGTTATACACGGTCATCTTTGAGTTTTTGTGTCTAATGATTGCTTTCAGTATCAATCGAGAATATTTGACTGTTGCACACTCCGAATTACGATTCGAAGACTCGTTCTTTCGAGTCGGATCTTTTCAATGATTTACATGTGGCGAAATAAGGAATAATAGCCTTTAGTGGTCGTATACAGCAGAAATGTTACAATGTACTTGAAATATATTTACGGTTTGGCTAAAACGTACAATTTTTTTTGTCAATTTCTGTAACTGAAATGTAGGTTTAGTTCGTATGGTTCTGTTCGAAAGAACCGATTCACAGAAATGAGTCGCTTTTCCCATCGAGAACATTTCACTGTTGCACACAACATAGTTAGGTGGAGTCAACCATTGCTGGTGGACTAATATATTTTCGCAGATCTGTAAATCATATGTTGCTTTTGGATAAATACCAGTCTGAATAAAATGTCAAGCACTATTATGACTAAATGCACTGTTGTCAATCTGAAGCCTCCATGTGATAATCTGACCGCGAGCCAGACCGATTGACGTATCTGATTCTTATACTGTATATGTGATTACATTTGTTGTCTCTACTTATTATTTTGGACAAAGTAAGCAAATTATTTGGGTTAGTATATGTATATGTGAAGTGAATAATCATTGATTATCCGATCTATTAATAGTTGTTGCTTGATGTGCATAGCTGTAAAAAAAAAAAAAAAGTTAATCATGTTTTGAATGCTGAAAGTGTAAATAAAATTCTAAATATTATACTGTCTGTATAATGGAGATGGGCATAATTTTAAAGGAAGTCTAACAAATAGTCTACTATCCATTAAAGACACTGTATTGTATGTATAGGGTGATGTTGACTGATAAACTGCTGACCCTGGTGCTGGTGGTGCAGCCCGGCCGGGTGTTGTTGGGCATGAAGAAAAGAGGCTTTGGAGCTGGCAAATGGAATGGGTTTGGAGGGAAAGTCTAGCCAGGAGAGACTATAGAGCAGGCGGCCAGACGGTGAGCCTAACTAGTCATTTTGTTGAGTGTTTTGTCACTTTGCTAGTTTATTAAAGTATGTCTATAAGTTTACATTTATTTAGTTTGAGTCATTTTAGTATTTCAGTTTAAACTAAACAAAAATGTGACCTGTTGAACTAGCTTTAATTTTGTAATATTTTATTTGAATGATTTTTTATTGTTTTTATTTTAGTTAACAATAATAACTCTGGTTAATATATGGAGGCCATTTCTGAAATGGGAAAGGGGAAATTTCTAATTTAGTGGTGAAAACAATTTAAATCTCACTTTTTTTGTTCTTTTTTTTTCGTGAGCATATAATCTTATAATTAATAATTATTATGAAGTGTGTAGGTCAAACTGACTGTAACTGGTTTTACTACAAGGTTACAACAGTAAAAACATGATAAATAAAACTGTATTTAATACGTATTTAGTTATTTTATGTTTGTGCTCTTGGAGGCTATGTTTTTTGCAGTGTTTTTACGGGGTGTTTTGAAGCCCGTTTTGTACTGTAAAACATTTCCAGGGACAAGAAAATTGGACGTTTGGTTACCTTTTAGGTAATATAATTGTCTTGCAGTTCAAACGCTGAATCATAGCAGTTGTTTTCAGGTATAAAGCATTAAGAATGGTCTTCTCTCTGGTGCCAAGAGCCGATAGATAGATAGACAGACAGACAGACAGATAGACAGATAGATAGACAGATAGATAGACAGATAGATAGACAGACAGACAGACAGACAGACAGACAGACAGACAGATAGATAGATAGACATTTTATTTTTTAGAATATTTCTTACACAAATGTACAGTGCTGTTTCCCTTTAAAAAAGCGAATATATTCTTCCAGTGTCTTTTTTCACTTACTTGAAGCTCCAGATCAAAGTTAAACAGCTTGAACCTTGTAATGCTGAGAATGTTTTATATTATTTACTTGTCTGTAAAACTTAACAATGGTGTCAGCGTTTGGCCATGTTCAATCTTCCCTGCTTTTATTGGTTTTCCAGCTAAAACGAAAATGGCATTTTATTTGACAGGGAGTTGCTAGAGGAAAGTGGCCTCACCGTTGACACCCTCCACAAGATTGGAAATATCAAATTTGAGTTTATTGGGGAAACAGAACTGCTGGATGTCCACATTTTTAGAGCTGACACCTATAAAGGAGTGCCAACCGAATCAGATGGTAATAAAGCGCCACATCACTTAATGATCCAGTTTGTGACACATACTGAGACAGAAGGTCTAATAACGTTTGTTTTCTCTTTCAGAGATGAGGCCACAGTGGTTTGACACAGATAAAATACCTTTCATCCAGATGTGGGCAGATGATGTCCTGTGGTTCCCACTGATGCTTCAGAAAAAGACGTTCTTGGGATATTTTAAATTCCACGGTCATGATGTGATAGTGGAGCATAAACTGGAGGAAGTGGTGGATGTGTGATTGGGGTTTGAACACCACTGATGAACACCGCCACTGTATCAGTGGAAATTATCCAACTACATGGTTTCTTGGATACGATGTCAAATCATGATATGAAATGCTGTAGTTTAATGTAATAAATGTACAGCATTTTGTATAAGCACACTTTTTTTGCATGGCTAAATAGCGTTATCTGTTAGTTTGGGGTTCCATTTATTTTTAGGGTTAAATTCACACATCTTCTGTATTCTGATGTTTTGTTTTTACCACCTTCTTTGTTCATCATTCCTACAACGATTGTTCAGTAGAGTACACCAAAAATCATACCTTTCTTATCAAGATCTTTACTATTCATCTACCTGTCATCTACTAAATAAAGTACTTGAAAGTGCAGAATAAAACGAAGTATCTGTCATCATTCTATCTGTCTGTATATGTCTGTCTGTCTATCTGTCTATCGTCTATCTATGACTATCTGTCTGTCTCTATCTATCTATCTATCTATCTGTCGTCTATCTATCTATAACTATCTATCTGTCTGTCGTCCATCTATCTGTCTGTCTCTGTCTATCTATCTATCTATCTGTCGTCTATCTATAACTATCTATCTGTCTGTCGTCCATCTATCTGTCTGTCTCTGTCTATCTATCTATCTGTCTGTCTGTCGTCTATCTATCTTTCTATCTGTTTGTCTATCCATCTATATATTTGTCTGTGTCTGTCTATCGTCTATCTATCTCTGTCTGTCGTCTATCTATGTATCTATCTATATGTCTGTGTCTGTCTATCGTCTATCTATCTGTCGTCTATCTATCTATGTCTATCTATCATCTATCATAGTGGAAATAAACAACTGCAAGTACACAGACTGAATGTAATACAGGTGAAACCTAATTCTCAAACTATTTGCCCTCTGTGCCAGCAGGTGGCAGGATTGAATACATATTGGAGTACAACATATTGGAGTTTCCATTTCTTTAATGATTTACCTTGTTCAAACATAAATCAAACATGTACAATTGATAATAATAAGCTCTGCTAAATTAAATTCAAGTTTATTTGTATAGCGATTTTTCCTAAAGGGTTTTATAGAATGTTAAACAATTAAGACAATAATATGCATGCATTATCAACCAACAGCATCTATACAACTTTATGGTAAATTGAAAGTAAAACGTTTTTGTTTTGCCAGACACATATTTTGAAGTATAGTTTACATGATAGCTTACTAGCAGTGTGAGAATTTTAGACCTTCAAGATTTATTGAATGAAAACAGGTCTTTAGCATATAGAGCAGCTAATAATAACTATTTCATGCTCATTATAGTTACTACTTAAGACTCTCTGAATCCAGGCTTAGGCTTAACAACAAAAAAACCTTTCACATTTTACAGAACTGTCAGACAACTAGTAGTCAACATTTGAAGGGAATCAAAAAAGTTAATCAAAGTTGTCCTAAGAAAAGAACACATTTTGTCTTTAGGACAACTTTGATGAAAGGTTTTTATCCGCTTCAAATGGTAAGTGACTAGAGTCATTTGAAAGTGTTCGCTTGTATACACTACTGTTCAAAAGTTTGAATACCTCACGGTAATGCTCAGCAAGAATGCAAGTATATGCTGTTTTCCTGCTCAAGAAACATTTCTTGTCATTGTTGGACACAATTGTGCTGATTAATATTTTTGTGAAAACCGTGATACATTTTTCAGGATACGTTAATGAACATGAAGTACAAAAGAACAGCATTTATTTGAAATAGTATTCTTTTGTAACACTATAAATGTCTTCACTGTTACTTCTGCTAAATGCATTGTGCTCAGGCTGAATAAAAGTAATCTTTCAAAAATAAAATCTTACTAACTCCAGACTTTTGAATGGTAGTGTAAATATTACTTACAAATTAAGATGAAATGTGAAAAAGGAAGAAGTACAAGTCTTAAGAATCAAAAATAGAAAATCAGACAGAAAAATCTGTCAGTTGAAACCACGAACAAGGAAGAATATGATGCCTTTGCAAAAGTATATTCAACTGACCACTGCTCTGGCTTGCTGGCTATTAGCTTCTCAGTTCAGTTCTCTATATTGCACTAAAATAGTAGATATACGTCATCTTTCATGAGTTACATGGTTTTGTACAATGTAAAATTTCTCTTTCAGCTTAGCTTACATTTTAAAACAACAACATCAACACCAGCATATGCTGGTTAGGTATGTTTTGACGCTGGGATGCTGGTTTAAGCTGGTCCTTTGCTGGTTTAAGCTGGTCCTGTGCTGGCAAAGGACCAACATAAACCAGAAAAAGGACCAGCAAAGGACCAGCAAAGGACCAGCTTAACCCAGCAAAGGACCAGCATAAACCAGCAAAAGGACCAGCATAAACCAGCAAAAGGACCATCTTAAACCAGCAAAAGGACCAGCTTAAACCAGCAAAAGGACCAGCTTAAACCAGCAAGCAAAGGACCAGCATAAACCAGCAAAGGACCAGCATAAACCAGCAAAGGACCAGCATCCCAGCGTCAAAACATACCTAACCAGCATATGCAGGATTTTTCAACAGGGTAATACAGTGTTGTAGCATCTTGTTGCATTTCCTCAACTTATTCTCAACATCATTAGCCATTTATTTTAGGCGTCAGTTTGTTCAAACTGTAGGAAATTAAGCGCCCTTTTCAACAGACAGATTTTAGGAACTGCCACATAACACATTCACACATAAGCAGTTCCCCATAACTCCTTGCAAGAAAGAATACTAACTGTCCGTATTATTTCCTGAATAGATCCTGCTATTCAAAACAGGCTGGAGTTCATTTTCTTTCGATTCTGAAGGGAGGCTATTTTGGGCTGAGAGGCGGAGACTGTCCATTACCGTCCCCAAAAATACTTTTAAGCTTGGAATGAAGATCCTGCCACACCTCACCCATCTAGATCAGAGCAAAATAAGGCACAACAGCAAATATTAGAAGGCTTTGTTAGGATCAAAGTAATTAAACTAACTTTGGCACACATTAAAATGAATAGCTTTAACACCGAGATAGATAAAAGATAAGATTACCTCTTTATGTCCCTGCACCTGTGAGTTTACAAATGCCCCCAGGATGTGAGACGTAATGGGCAGGTATGTGAATATGAGCTGGCTCTCCTGGTGCAGGCAGAACAGGGAGAAGTAGTTGCGCAGCTCCATGGCCTGGATGGCGTTTTCTTGCTGCCGTGAGTCAGAGATCATAGTGAGGTTACAGTGCGGTCACATCTTCCCACCCTAACCATCATCATCATCATCATTATTACGATGAGCCACCCAGCAGTTCAAAACCACTGAATCATGACATGTTAGTTGAAGGTCAGACAGATATTGTTTATGTGCCTCACATGATTTGGCATTGCATCAATATCACTTAAGAATGAGGGAGTGTTTCTCTTGTCCACCAGCTGGCCAAGGCCTTTATGTTGTTTTATAACAAAATTAAAGTGATAAATCAAATTGTTAAATGAGAAAATAAAATGAATGTGTAAAATGGCTGCTCAAATGATCAATTAAATGCTTGAATGAAAGTTTGGTCAGTGTATAAAGTTGGGTTGCTAGGAATTTTTTTGGGTGGCTTACAAAATATCCTCAGTGCTGGTGATGCAATGAATATACATTAGTGGTATTAATTACTATTTCAGTAACATTTTTCAATCTTTTTGAAAGACGTCTCTTATTCTTACCTAGGTTGAATCAAAAATATAGTAAAAAAGTAAGATTGTGAAATTGTATTACATTTTAATATCACAATACGTTTTTAATTTAATTTCCTTCCTGTGATTGCAAAGCTGAATTTTCAGCAGTTATTACTCCAGTCGTCAGTGTCAACGTCAGGGTATTTTTGTGTGTGGGAAACAGTGATAGATTTTGATGAACAGAAAGTTTAAAAGAACAGCCTTTATTTGAAATAGAAAGCTTTTTAACATTATAAATGTCTTTACTGTCACTTTTGGTCAATGTACTGCATCCTTGCAGAATAAGGGCCAGATTTACTGAACAAGGCAAATTAGCGTTAGAGTGTAATTCCATAAAAGCGCCAATAAGAGGGAAAATTCTGCGGGAGATTTACTGAAACTTTGCGCATTAATGAACACGAACACAACATCTAATTTCCATAATGACCAGCGCAATCTACCAAGAGAAGCGCAAATTACCGTTTGCGTTAAGACATGCTTTTTTTGGGCATTAAATAATGCCGCAAATACCAGTAAATTGACGAGCGCAAATCTTAGTAAATCACATTGTGTGATTCATTTAAATATACTCTCCTCCCAGAAATGTAACGATCGTAAGGGAAACTCCTACAAATGTATATTCAGTAAAGTGAGTAGCAAAAATAACTCGGTCCACACCTTTTCAGCGCTAATTTCCCACTGCGTGTCTTTAGTAAATCCTGACAGTAGTTTTTCAACACCAAATGAGGGTTTGGGCTGATGCAAAATTATAGTAAATCTGGCCCTATAAGTGTTAATTTCTTTCAGAGATGGAAACTTGAGTCTGCGACTTGGACTCGAGTTGCACTTAAGTCGCATAAATAAAGACTTGGGACTTGACTTTGACTCGTGAACAGCTGACTCGAGACTTGACTTGGACTCGTGACTCATGAAACTCGTAAAAAACGCAAGTCATTTGGTATGGGAGTTTATATGAATGTATCTCTGAGGGGAACTGGCTGTCTTTAGAAAAGTTTAGATGGTATTTTCTTTTTATCTTGCCTCTGTATAATGCATATTAAAGTAGTGTTCATAACCGCAGCGCTGCTTTGTTTACAGTGGCAACCAAGGAAATTATGTTTAATTGCTGTTCAAGTGCCACCTGCTGGCAGAAAGTGAATCTGCATTCTAATTCAGCCTGTCTGCTGTTTTGTTTCGTGCAGATGTTTTATGTAAAATATTTTCACAAAACTAAAGTCAGAACATTTTGTTTTTGCTTTAAATTTCGAAATTATACAATCCAATGTAGATTAAAAGCTCAGGATTGTGTTGCGTTTAAAATACTGTGGTTGCCTCTAATTTTAAATAGAAAAAGAGCACAGGCAAAGCCTTAGTTTGTTTATATGAGATTTATTTAATTTGTGTTATTCATTTGATTGATTGGGGTTTGTTTTAAATTTTCTTCATATTGTCTGACAATTAATAAATGGACACCTTTTCATTTCTAATTTGTCTTCAATTTTGTTAAAGTATTTTTTGAGAAAATCATATAGTGAAATCAGTTTCAAAACCAATTTAGCCTCTATAACTAGCTGAAAGAACTGTTGCTAATAAATAGAACAAAGACTTAAGATTTGAATTGGACTCCACCTTAAAGACTTGAGACTTGACTTAGACTCGACCTTAAAGACTTGAGACTTGACTTGGACCT